CTCACAAGGATCCTCCTGCCTCAGCCTCCTGAGTGCTGGGATTACAGGCATGCGCCACCACACCAGGCTCACTTCAGACTTCTTATGGCTACGCTAGGATCCTTCCTTGACACCAAAGTCTAACCATGTCTGCCCCACTCTTAAAAATTGTTATGGGTCTGGGATGTAGCTTCTAGTGGGAGAAGCACATGCCTAGCATACATGAGGCCTGGGATTTGATCCTCAGTATCATAAACAAATCAACACACACAAATAATGCTGTAATTCTGAACTGATAAGAATCTAAATGCTTATGTGTGTTACTCAAACCCAAATGGGTTGTGTAGGTCAACTAGGTCAATCTTGTTTACATATTTATAAGTAAACCTGAGCCCAATAAGCCTGTTTATGTAAATGTTAGGCTAAACCGAATCCACCCAGGTTAAGTGTGAGGCATCAGTGGTAGGGCATCCTAGACTCTAGTGTCTTTGAATTGCAACTATGTATTCGTAGTTGGCCTGCAGGCTTAATTTTAGCTAGATGAACTACCAAAAATGCTAGCAATCTGTCTTCAGATTTCCTCTGCTTTCTTTCTGCTAAGGACAAATTCTAGAAGTGTAGAATCCTTAGTTTTATGTTTCTTTAAACAGAACTCTGACTGTTTCATCAGGGGATAGTCATTTTGACATGAATTTGTAAGCTTTTGTGGCAACAGCGACAATTATTTTCTACTTGAATGTTTTGCCTTCAAATATTAATTTGCCTTTGTCGCGATAGGTGTACAGCAAATATATATGTGTATGTGTTTGTGTGGGAATAGAGTAGGGCTAGGCTTCAGCTAGTGTTTCCATCATATTTCTTATCATTATATTGAGACTGTTACTATAAAAATCATCTGTTGAGGGCCAGGGATTTAGCTCAGTGGTTTCGGCACCTGCCTTGCAAGTTGCAAGGTCCCGAGTTTGATCCCCGGTACCAAAAAAAAAAAAAAAAAAAAAAAAAAATCTTGAAATTCTGTACCTGAAAAAAACTATAAAGCCTTCACTCAGATATTTGAAATCGTATGAAAAAAATCATATGAACATGTTAATGAATATCCTTTTGTTAAATATTGTAATTTATGCTTTATCTTCAGGACTCTTCCATTTTAAAAATAACCAGGCCCATTTTAACAAATGTGTTTCTCTCATACAGCGATGCTGATTGAGTAATTATTCTACATTTCACATTCAGTACTATGGCTAGGAAGTGCAGGGATGGGTACAGTCGCTACTCCACTTACCACCAGACCATATGGTACAATTTACATCTGCCAAGGAGAACAGCCATCGCACACAACAGAAAACAATAGAGGATTTTCACTGTATTTTTTTGTGGTGCTGAGGATGGGTCCCAGGGCCTGGTCTGTGCCAGGCAAGCACCCTCTCTCTGTGTACTTCCCTCAACTTTATGTCCAGTCTTAAGATTGATCAACAGACAACAGTTAAACAACTCTGCTTTCTTTTATTTGCTCAGCTGTTACTTTGTAGCCACAAAGGTAAGACTCACTTTTTTTTTTTGGGGGGAGGGATGAACTGGGGTCCTGGAACTTGTGAGGCAGGTGGCGGCACCACTGAGCTAAATCCCCAGCCTGAGACTCACTTTGACACTAAAAATTCAAAGTGCGACTGGTCTTAGAGCAGTGCATACTCTGGAGGGGAGGTGGTCCTGAAGCAAATGATTATCCTGTGATGTCCCACTAAGTGTGACAGAAGCATATGCAAGGTGTCACAGAAGTACAGGAAAAACATGCTTAACAGCTGGAGCCTAGGGATGAGTAAGGGGAGGGTCACAGAGAAGACCATCTTTGAGTTAATTACTGAGAGCAGGGTAGGAAATACACTGTGGTGGTTAAGAAAACAGACTGTAGCTACATTGTACACGTTTAATCCAGCACCTGCTAACTTGCTGAGGAGCCTTTGGCATGCTATTTAATCTCCCTGGGCTTCATTTTCATCCTCTGTGAAATGGTCCTAATAACCAGACACAGCTCTAGGGGTCAAGTGAGGATTCCACGAGGGTCCTGGGCTTAGAGGCAGCACATGGCCCCTGGAAAGCCCTCGTGTAGGGTCAGCTACTGTGCCAGGGATGGTCCAGCGGGGACAAAGCCAGGGGATAGGAGAGGCACAGCAGGTGTGGCTTGTTAAAATGACACGAGGGCCAGGGATTTAGCTCAGTGGCATCCTGCCTGCCTTGCAAGCACAAGATCCAATCGCCTGTACCCAAAACAAACAACCTGACACATGAGCTGCATTTGTGTGGAGGGTGTTGGGGAACGGCAAAGAAGCAGACAGAATAGGAGAGAGAAAATTCTGTGCGAAAAAGGCTCAGGCTAAAGCAGTCCTTGAATTTTAAGGAAGAGAGATTCAGATTTGTATTATAGAAAGACAAGCCTGGTGCAATGGAAAAGAGTAGAGCCTGGGAGACTAGTTAAGAGGAAGAGAAGTCGGGAGAGATGATAAAGGCTTGGCCAAGAGATGGAAGGGAGAGTGCAGATTTCAAAGTTGCTTAGAAGGTAAAATTGACAAGAGTTGGTAATAGACAGCTTAGATTAGAGGGTGAAAACGTAGAAAGTTGTGAACGATCCTCAGATCTTTAGTTTGGATGATTCGGTGAGAAGACAAAGAAAAGCAGGTTTGGGGATAAGCTTGAAGGGCCAGGGGGATGAACAGAATTAGGGCTTAGGCCTGCCTCTCAGGAGCCAGAAGTCACGACTTTGGATTTCCTGGGATACAGGTTGGCATTGTGGGAACGTACAAGCATAGCAGAGGTTGTGTGCAGGAAGAGATGCAGGGGTGGTGCTATCAAGACCAGCACTGAAGAGTCAAAGAGTGAAGCCATAAAGGAGAGAGGCCACAGCAGAAGGAGATGTAGAAGAAAATGGGGTCATGGGAAATGCAGAAATCCAAGGAGGAGGCATTCGAATGCAGGAGTGAGGTCAAGAACTGTCTCTCGGCAATTAGGAAAGCGCGTGAAGGGAATCTGCGGACTATTGCTGCCACGAAGCAAAACACAATGGGACAAGAGATACAGTGAATCCTCTTCACAAAGACTCGCCGTTAGCTGATATTTTAGGTCAGTAGCTAGAAGAATTCCTGGAGTATCCACAGATGTGGTCCAGTATCAGGCTCTGGGCACAAGACAGATCTGGCCTGCCTTGTAGGGCTGTTTTTCCAGAGCCCAGCAAAAAGTCTTGGCACACTGGTATCGTGTACTAACTGTTGGTGAAGAATGAACGAGTGAGGGTGGTGGTCTCGCCGCCTGCCTCCATAGCGCAGGGAACCGAGCTCAATCCCTGGTACCAAAAAAAAAAAAAAAGATGAGTGAGTCAGTGGTCTCCAGCCACCACGCCTTTGTAGAGCTGTGGGAGTTCTCAACTATTGGCTGTTTCCAGGAAGTGTCAGTCCCTCGGTAGCTACCAAGAAAAGATTTTTGTTTGTTTGTTTGTAGACAGGGTCTCGTTTTGTAGTTGAGGCTGACCTGAGACTCACTATGTAGCCCAGCCTGGTCTTGAATTCACGGCGATCCTCCTGCCTCAGCCTCCAGAGTGCTGGGATTACAGCCGTGCACCACCAAGCCCTGCAAAAGTAGATGTTTTGGTAAGATCACCAAAACTGTCAAGTAGTGGGGATGATCTGGCAGTGTATGCCTATGTTGGGGAGCGACAGTGCTGGTGATAACGGTGACAACAGGTCTACTCAGGCTGGTCTTGTTATCAGATGTATAAACTCTTGGTTCAGTCTCAGATATGATTTTCTTAGTACATTTGCTGTATTACTTGTTTTCTTCCTTCCCTCCTTGGTGTGTGAAGATGCCCTGGGTGGGATAGAGGGGTTCCTGGGGATTGAGCCCAGGGCCTCAAGCATGCTAGGAAAGAGTTCTATCACTGAGCTACATACATCTCCAATTCCTTTTTGAGATAGGCAGGCTCTCTCTCTCTCTTGCTCAAGCTGGATTGAAATTGGCGATTTCCTCCTGTCTCAGCCTCCTGAGCAGCTGAGATGTGGTGCCCTGAATAGTAAATTTCCAAGGTCAGGGGCCGCTTCAGACGAGTGTCTTTAACTCCTTGCAGCACATGTTTGTCCACTGGACCCCTAGCTAAGAATCCTGGCTCTTCTCAGCCTCAGACAACTTACAGTGCTTGGACTGTCAACACAGGCATGAAAAAATGTCCTACTGATACCTTCCAATTTCTCCTGGAAGGGTGAACTTTCAGAGGAGCTTTTAAGGGCAAGCAGTAGGCAGCCAATGATACCGGACCTGGGACTTCCACTTCTGGAGCCTCTAATGCCCAATCCTCCTTGGGAACTTTGGGGTATCCCGCGGGTCTGCGGGGGATACCGAGGTCGGGGAAGAGCAGGTTCTATGGTGGAGCGTTAGGGCGCCCACAGGGTGGACTAAGGTCTCTTCTGGCGTCCTCATGTGGAAGAGGCGCCGTCCGGATCCTGGGCGTGAGTGGGCAGGGGTAGGGGACAAGGGGGCGGAGGTGACTTTACGGTCTCCTTCTTCCTTTCTGTTTCGGACACTGATGCGGAGAGGTGGTTTGGGTCGCCTCGGGGGGCCCAGCGCCCGTCCGCCGCT